CAACCCCACCAACTCCATCTTTTTGTGGCTGTGGTCAGCTCATCAAAAAATTTGACGTGTGTGTCAACGTAATGTCTGGCAGCAGAAGAGGATGGGGGAAGATCAAGAAAAGAAGAGTTAGAAGAACACAATGGAATTTGTATGAAACACATGAACAGTGACAATGGATTGATGTTTTTTTTGCAACGGGAACAGTCCAGTTCGATAGGATGATGGATTGATATTTTGCAAATGAACGATTTACGATATGGTTTTCCTATTTTATTACTGAGTAACTCTGTAATTTTCGTTAAATACAATCCGGTTGCCCCCCCCCCACCTGTATTCTCCTTCACTACACTAACACCTAATTTAAAGCATTTCTCAATATTTGTAAACATTGGACTATAGTTTTATCCTATTATATAACTTACCAGCAGTGTAACTCCCACCTATCATCCTATTCCACAAGAGATTAAACCTTGAACCATAGATCTCATACATGAATACCTAAACTGTAAATCATTAAGCTGGTTGAACTTTACATATGATGATATAATAAATAGAGTTGAATAAGAATAAATTTTCAACAACAAAAGTTATACTACTTACTAATTGATTTTGATCAAATGAAGACTCATGATGATGATAATCATGGTATGTTGGTGTTTGTTGATGTGAATCAATTGGTGGTGAATTATTTTCCTTATTGACAGTCATTATAGATTTTTGATTGTTGAATACTGGATGAATAGGTGTAAACTAAAAAATTCGATAATTTAAAAAAAAATAATCATGTCATTATTACAGTAAAACTCATTTTTCATCTCGTTTGAACTGCAGTCAGTGTGGGGCATAGGCAGATACGAAGAAGAGGCAACGATGGGTGTCCCGATCTTTACGAGTTCTTACTATTTCGTTCAGGAGTCCCATCAGTGCTGATGGCCTAGTGTGTGTGACGAAATCTCAGCTCGGATACAAAAGGCTCGATTGGCTTTTGTCAACCTGCGTCACTTATGACGTAGGCGAGATATCCGCTTGTTGATTCAAGGACGTGTGTATTGCGCAACAGTTCGCTCTATCCTAATATACGGATGCGAAACATGGCCACTAAGAGTAGAGGACATTCGTAGGTTACTAGTCTTCGATCATAGGTGTCTTCGAAGCATTGCTCGTATATCCTGGGACAACAGTATCAGCAATGCTATCGTTAGGAAATGAGTTCTAGGTAGGGATGGCAAATCAATACATGAAGTGGTGAAACTTCATCAGTTGAGGTGGCTGGGACATGTGTTACGTATGCCTAACCACCGACTGCCTCGACGAACTATGTTTTGCAGTATAGGAGTAGGTTGGAAGAAAGCTAGGTGAGGCCAGACCAAAACATGGCAGAAATCCATGAAGTCACTAACAGACAAGTGAACTGGGTTATGTTGGTAGATGTAGGCTATCTGGTTGGGTTCCGTGCGACGAAAGTCACCAATGGTTAGAGACCTTGAACGACATCGCTTAAAATCATTTGCAATAGCGCAGGTGTATCCTTTCTTCGTGTGCTTTTAAATTCTAACCTTCTGATATTTTTTGAGACTTACAGCTAGTCGTATACGAGGCAAAATGAGGTCTTTTCTGATCCCTTGTTGTAATGTTGTAAGAAGGCAATAGTTTTACAGTTGTCACTTATCTGGTAGAAATACCATTCTTCATATCCCATTACAGTTGGCAGTACGACACTGACCTCTTTGTTCTTACCACCCATTATTATTAACCGACCAGTCTAGTATAGCAGAATTAAAGTTAACGAATGTTTCAGCTAAAATAACTCGATTTAGTTATCGTGGTATGTAAATCCAATCATCATATCAAATATAAGTAGTCAGTCAGATGCGTAAGTACATCAGTTCATGTTGCCATACCACATCAGCACAGAGATCTAATTGTAAATTCAAATCCAATAATAGAAGAGGTAGTAAAGGTATTAGAAGTAATCCTAGAGGTTAGGATTAGAAGATATTATTATTCAAGAAGTATGATTCAGTGAGAAAAGTTTAGAAAGTCAAAACTAGAGATGTTGAAGAATCCAGAAGATTAGGATTTGAGAGAGAACACAAAGAATAAATGCACCGGCGCCATTGTAAACGGTTTTAAGCCATGTCATTCAAGGTCGCTAACTATCGATTATTATCATCTCACGGACCCCAAGTAGATTCACTCGAGATAAAAAAAAGTTAATGAGCATTACAATATTGACTAAAATATAACAAAATTCTATCCAGTAATTTCATTTACAATCTATTTTAAAGAAACTAAACCACTTACTTGAAGTGTATTCAACAAAGCATCACGTGATACAATTTTAGGCGCTGTTAAATCATAAACATTTTTTTTCTGTGAATTTAATGTAGGCAAAATGTTTGCAGATCCAGGAGTACTACAAAATGCTGCCGCCGCCGATGAACTAATACCAATATCATGAATTTGATGTTTAACAATCGAATTCAATGGGAGATTATCAGATGAAGTAGTATTTTCTTTGTTACCTATAAATGGTAGATAGAAAGATAGATAAATAGATACAAGGCAGAACTTCGTACATATAAGTACATCAGATTAGGTTGCCATACCACATCAACACAGAGACGCAAATGTCAGTTCAAATCCAAGAGTGATAGCAATAACAGAAGGATTAGCAGTAATGCAGAAGATTAGGGTGCGAAGATATGATTCGAGAAGTATAATTCAGTCAGATAAATTGAGAAGGAGAAAGATAGAGATTATGAAGGATTCAGAATGTTAGAATTTCAGAGAACACAAACAGTGGATGCATCTTCGCCATTGCAAACGATTCTGAGCCATATCGTTCAAGGTTTCTAACCATCGGTGACTATCGTCTCGCGGACCCCAACCAGATAGTCTACATCTACCAACATGACATAGTCCACTTGTCAATGAATTCATGGATTTGTGCCGTGTTTTGGTCTGACCGCCCCTAGCTTTCTTCCAACCTACTCCCCTAAACCACAAAACATAGCTCGTCGAGACAGTCGGTGGTTAGCCATAAGTAACGCATGTCCCAACCGCCTCAACTGATGAAGTTTCACTACTTCATCTATTGATTTGCCATCCCTATCTAGAACTCATTTCCTAACGATAGCATTGCTTACTCGGTTGTCCCACGATAAAGAGCAATGCTTCTTAAACATCTATGATCGAATACTAGCAACCTACGAACATCGTCTACTCTTAACGGCCATGTTTCACAGCCATATAAGAGAACGGAACGAACTGCTTCGCAGTACACTCGTCCTTTAGTCAGCAAATGGATATCTCGCCTACGCCATAAATGACGCAGGTTGGCAAAAGCCAATCGAGCCTTCTGTATCCGAGCTGAGATTTCGTCAGTCACCAGGCCATCAGCGCTGACGAGACTACCAAGATAAGTGAAGTGATCAACACGCTCGACTACTTCACTCCCTATCACTAGTTCAGGTGCCGATGCAACCCAATATTGAAGCAACATTTTGCATTTCGAGGGGGAAAACCGCATCCCGAACATGCTCGCATTGTTGCTTATGGTGTGCTGTTGCGGGTATGAGGGCGGTTATCACTTGCCGGCTGCTCACACCGTGGAAGTTTGTGAGATAAATTGAGAAGGAGAAAGACAGAGATTATGAGGAATTCAGAAGGTTAGAATTAAAAAGCACACAAAGAGTGGATGCACCTGCGCCATTGCAAACGATTTTGAGCCATGTCGTTCAAGGTCTCTAACCATTGGTGACCTTCGTCTCGCGAGCCCCAACCAGAGAGCATGCATCTACCAACATGACTCAGTCCACTTGTCAGTGACTTCATGGATTTGTGCCATGTTTTGGTTTGGCCGCCCCTAGCTTTCTTCCAACCTACTCCTCTACACCACAAAACATAGCTCGTCGAGGCAATCGGTGGTTCGGCATACGTAACACATGTCCCAACCATCTCAATTGATGAAGTTTCAGTACTTCATCTATTGATTTGCCATCCCTATCTAGAACTCATTTCCTAACGATAGCATTGCTGATACTGTTGTCCCATGATACACGAGCAATGCTTCGGAGACACCTATGATGATCGAAGACTAGTAACCTATGAATATCCTCTACTCTCTTAACGGCCATGTTTCACACCTATAAATGATTGATGAATAATGTGTGTTTTTTTCCCGTCGTTGAGAAACAAACAAACTAACTAATTAAAACTTACAACTAGATGTCTGATGATCGCCAAGATCTGATTCAACAATTAATTCATATTTTTCATATGAAGAAAAATCTGGAATCAGTTCACCAACACAACAATGTTTCACATGATCTGGTTTATCTTTCGGTTTCTTTCTATAAATATAAACATATCATAATAAATTTTTTCATTACAACTTTATTTGAAGTGATTTAGCCGATGAATTACTGAATAAATCACTAGATATTTCAGAAATATCCACTTTATTAGTGAAACTTTGAAATAGATCTTCACATGAAGACATCAATTGAATATGTTTATATATATATTGAACAAATGTAGAAATAGAGAAAAGATCTGAAAAATAAAGAAAATACTCATTAAAATAAATCAGAGAAACAAGGAATCAATAATTATAGGTTAGATTGTATATGAACTGATCATAGAGTCAGCCATAAAGTTTGCACTTCTCTTATTGTTATTATGAATTATGTTCGTAGATCAAACGGTTACTGAACAATATGAGATAGTAGTAGGTACATTTTGGGGGCAATCAGGTCGTATGGAATAAGCTGTAAATACATTAAGTTAGTACATTAGCAATATCTGACAAACAAATTTATTAATGTACGGTGCATAAATGTTTAGGCTACAATTATCGGAGAAAGGAACCCGACTGTTAGTGAGCATATCTAGGAAAAAGACGGAACTATTATTTATTTTCAATACAAGAGATTGGATCGATGGGTAAAACAACTGGCCGCCAATGTTAACCAACTCGTCGAGCTATGTTTTGTAATGTAATAGTAGGTTGGAAGAAAGCTAGGGACGGCTAAACTAAGACATGGCAAAAATCCATGAAGTCACTGACAATGGGATTGAGTCATGTTGATACATTTAGTCTACCTGGTTGATGTCCGCCAGACGATAATAATCAATGGTTAGAGACTTTGAATGACATGGCTTAAAACCGTATGCAATGGCACAGGTGCATCTATTCTTTGGCGCCTCTCAAATTCTAATCTTCTGGATTCCTCACTACCTCTATATTTGTCTATCTAAACTTCTATACTTCTTGAATAAGTTCTTTAAACTCTAATCTTCTCCATAACCGCTAATACTCCTGCTATCTCTACTATTATGGGATTTGAATTAAAATTGCGTTTCTGGGCTAATGTCCTATGGCAACCTGAACTAATGTACGTACGAATGAAGTTCTCTGCTGTAACTGACTGGTCGATTGACTGAATAGAATATACTTTGCTTTTAATGTGACAGGGATTTTAATCAGTTCACACATATACCGTCTTGGTTGTACTTTAATTAAAACTATATAATCTAGTGTCTATTGTGTATTCAATGGATATTTCATACTATGTAGTACATGTATGCTTGTGACGCAATAACAGTATCAAGACGATCTGCACAGGATATATATATATACATCAAATAAGGACTGATCAAATGCAGTCTTCAGTGAGGAGATTCAAACTATCAGTACAAATAGATTGAAAAATAAAACGATATTTGCTTATTTAACTAATTTACTATAAATCCAAGTTATGATGAAAAGTGGAGATCATTTAGCTGAAGCACACATGAAGTCATAGTAATCATGTTTTGACCAACATAGTTTTTGCTACATCAGATTCCAGTGGAGGAGGAAATCAGGAAGAATCGCTGGAAGTGTGTAAACCACCCAGCTGCGTCAAAAGACAAGCCCTGACTTGGAACGCTCAAAGTCAAAGGAAAAGAGGAAGACCAAGAAACACAGTACATTGAGAAGAATGAGCAGAAATTGAACAGAACTGGAAAGGGAAGCCCAGAACAGAGTAGGCTGGAGAATACTGGTTGGTGGCCGATGCTCCGATTAAGGGTAACAGGTGTAAGTAAGTAAGTAAGTCAGTTGCAACGTAGAACTTCGTACGTATGTACATAAGTTCATACTGCCATACCACACACATTAGCACAGAGACACAAATGTCGAATCAAATCCCATAGTGATAAAGATAGTAGAGGTAGTAATGGTAATGAAGAAGACTAGGGTTCGAAGATATTATTCAAGAAGTATAATTCAGTGATATAAGTTTAGAAAGACAAAGGTAGAGGTGTTGACGAATCCAGAAGATTAGGATTTGAGAGAGCACAACGAATGGACGCATCTGCACCACTGCAAACGATTCTGAGCCATGTCGTTCGAGGTCTCTAACCATTGGTGACTTTTGTCTCACGGAACCCAACCATATAGCCTACATCTACCAACATGATTCAGCCAACTTGTCAGTGACTTCATGGATTTCTGCCATGTTTAAGTAAGTAAGTACATCAGAATGAAAATTAAAGGGATGGTAACTCTCAGGATTTATCTTTGGACTATATATATATATATATATATATATATATATATATATATATATATATATATAACCAGGTCATGTCTCACCAATAAATATAAATAAACAACTATAAATGAATAAGCTAAAGTTAGCTGTGAATAAAAGGGAGATTGGGAATAGTAAACTAGCAATAGATTAAAATAAAATAATAAGTTATACAACTGTAGTTAATGAGTTATTCAAGAGTTCAGAATTAAATGAATATACAACCCGACTATATACAACGATAAAATCTATAAACTAGGTTCTTAATTTACTATTTACTTCAGTCTTCATTCGGATATGACAGATTGTTAGATACTGTCTCCTTTATTCAGTCAGTTTTTACAACCTGTTTATGTCTCAATGAGTAATATATGGTCAAATATGCCTATATATAAACCATATTTGTTTTAAATATATGAGATTGGTTACAAAACTTTTGGATTCAACAAGCCGAACTGGGAGAGAAGTTTTTTACCAATAAGAATTTAACTGTTACTAACCAGTGTTTATTAGTGCGGAACTGTATTTTGTGTCAAAAATGATATTAGTAAACAAGTTGCAGACCCAACTGTTTCAGTTACAGAGCAGAACTTCGTACATATGTGTATTAATTCAAGTTGCCTTACCACAATAGCATACGGAGATTATATTGTCAACTCAAATCCCATAGTAGTAAAGGTAGTAGAAGTATTAGCAATCAACGGAGAGATTAGGGTTAGAAGGTATTATTCAAGAAGTATATTCTAGTGGAATAAACTTAACAGGCGAAAGACAGAGGTAATGAGGAATCCATAGGATCAGGATTTGAGAGAACAAAAAGAATGGATACATGTGAGCCATTGAAAACGATTTTGAGTGATGTCATTCAGGGTCCCTAACCATCGATTACTATCATCTCGCGGGCCCTAACCAGGAAGTCGACACCTACCAACATGACTCAATCCCATTGTCACTGACTTAATGGATTTGAACCATTTTTGGTTTGGCCGCCTACTACTATACCACAAAACATAACTTGACGAGGCAGTCGGTGGTCGGGCGTTCGTAACACATGTCCTAATCACCTCAACTGATGGGGATTCAATACTTCATTCATGGATTTGTCATCTCTACCTAGTACACGTTTAGCAACGACAGTTGTCCCACGATACACGGGCAATGCTCCGAAGACATCTATCATCTAATACTAACTACCTACGAATATCTTCTAACCTTACCGGCCATGTTTCGCATTCGTATAGTGGGCCGGAGAGAACTTCTGTGCAGTACACTCGTCTTTCGGTTGCTAGACTGTAGTAATTAATTGAATTTACAGTATATCACTGTTGTATCGCTCGATAGTTCTGTTCATTATAATCAAACAGCAATAATTTTAGGAACGCCAGTACTATAATACTTATAGTACAACCCGATCACTAAATAAATATACATTACTTTCATCCAACATCACTGTGTTGAGTTTACACAGAAAGATTGATTCCTTTGGACTCACTTATTATTTCGGTACCGCCACATGTGTTAGATTTTTACAAAACGAATTATTGTACCATCTATTTTCCTAGAATACTTCCGACCAAGACCTTCGCTAAAACCTACCAAACTCTAAGTATTTTCAGTCAAAAATGACAGATAATCCGCAGTCATTTCCATCCTAATTACCTTCGTAGCAGAACGACCTTGAGAGAATATACCGCTCTGTAAAGGTCAACAAATTATCGCTCTGGTAAAAAATGAGGCCTCAAATATATTTATCACGAGCTATTATTCTAACATTTGGCCTCTGTTAAGTTTGCGTCTTGAGTGGAGATTCCTTTCATGTTGGACGGGGGGGGATGAGGAGCAGCATATGAGATTACGTGGAAGAAATAAATGGAATAAAGGTGACCCGAAGACTCAGTTAGCACATAGAATGAACCTGCTATTAATGAAGCGATCAGTCGACGAAAGTTAGCGAAACACAGGTGTGAGATTAAAATAAAATGGAAATCAGAACTATAAGTTGATAGCGTAAGAGTTCGGATGCGTTAGGCTGGAAGTATCCTCATCTCATTTACGTAATCCCTTAGCGGTACTTAACCACTAATCAAAACTAGGATTTATCATCTCCACCATCCAATATCCAATATCTTTTTCACGAGCTAGTGTAAACCAATTTGATTTCTTCGCGCTCGATTCTTGTTCTTTCGGTACGGTTCCAGGTGTTCGGTAATGTCCAATGGATGTAGGTCTAGTCACTCGACTGTCTAATTCTAGTCAGTTGGCAGTTAGTTGTGAGTTTGTGTTACGGGAGAAACGAAGACATTTTGCTGATTAAAACCTTCATGTATAAATATAATTAATTTCACTGTTTTTTGGGTATATTTGTTTTACTTAACTTATGAACTTGTTTGAATTATTATTTGCAAACATATTGGACTCCCGTTTCTCTTTGTTGTTCGTTGCAGTTTTTTGCTCCAAGAGATAATAAATTAGAAGGTAACTGTAATTATTATAATTATTGTTGTTAGAACGACATTGGTCGTCTATTTGTAATAAATTATTTTGGTGGAATTTGTGATTTGGAATAAACTTTGGTATCTACTTTGGAGTTTCGTTCTTGGTATAGAAATTTGGGACCTTGAATTACCAATAGACGACAACAGTGCTTCGTAAGATCGACGAGCAAAAAACTGCAACGAACAACAAAGAGAAACGGGAGTCCAATATGTCCGCAAATAATAATTCAAACAAGTTCATAAGTTAAGTAAAACAAATATACCCAAAAAACAGTGAAATTAATTATATTTATACATGAAGGTTTTAATCAGCAAAATGTCTTCGTTTCTCCCGTAACAGTTTGTATGTCTCGGGATTTGAATGAAACGTTTGTTTCAGGGCAGTAGGGTTTCTGGATACCAGTAGCCGTCACATTACCGAACCGGAG